ATATCTTGTCACACTTATACAAATATAGTAGACAAAACTCATGGTATGTGGGCAAAGAGTTGAAGTTATACTTTTAAAAAGATAATCTGTTTATGAAGATTAACCCCAACCTGACACACCAGATGGCTGCCTCTCCCTTAGCCTGTTTCTGTCGGAGGTTTCTTCCTGCTAAAAGGGAGTTTTTTTTCTTCCCACTGTCTCCAAGTGCTTGCTCTTCGTCTGATTGTTGGTCTTTACCTTACAGTATAAAGCAGCTTAAGGCAACTGTTATTTTGATTTGGCTCTATATAAATAAAACTGAATTAAAATAGGAAGACAAAAACAGTATAACAGCATCCAAAGGGTTGAGAGTCAGCTACTAAAGCTTACAATAAGCGCAGCCATGAACTGTAAACTCTGTTGTAGTTTACACAAAGCACCGTTAAAAGTTGACAAATCTAGCTGCCAGTGCTTTTCTGCAATTAAACAGCCACTTCTTACAGAAAAGAAACGAACTTTTGTCATTTTTAGAGAAAAATGCCAAATTTGCATAAATGGTAATGGCAACACTATCTCAGTGAAATAGCACACAGAGCTAATAAAGCAGCTTATCTCAGCTTTACATTGTTTCTATTACAGTAGCATAGTTGCTGCAGTTCTTTAGCTGCTTGTTAAGAAACATCAGGTGATATTGCCTTTAAACTTCCAAAAATGTCAAGAAATCTCCAATGACTGCATGTGAATAGATACAGAGTACTGTGAATATATGGTATATATAGTGTGAATAGTATTATGTCAGATATATAGCACACTGTATGGGCAAACATGCAAAATTGAGAATGAAACCAGGCTTCTGTTTTATTTGTTTCATCCTTGACTGAGCTCGCAAGCACTCTCACCTGAGGCTCGAACATCCAAGGGAAATCCACCTTCTTCTCCCCGTCTGACTTCTTGAATGTATAGGCTGAGTAGATGGGGACGTGTTTGTGTGAGTCGTACAGGGTGACATAGCGGGGTTTGTCCTCATACCGCTGGCAGATCTTCTTAAAGGAGTTGCTGAGGTATCCTCGTGGTGGTGTTCCCATAAAGAGAGAGTCCTTGCAGCGCTCCGCATGGTTGAAGTCTCCCACAACTCCTGCCTGGGACACTTCAAGCAATCCACACATTAGGAAGATCATGGCAGCTGCCGTTGCTAAGGCACAATTTGTAAATGTAGGTATCATCACTGCAGCTTTTTTTTCTCAGCAGCTCTCTTTTGTGTCTTTTTAGATGTGTCTTCTCTTGCTAATGTGTCTCTAATTCACCTGTGACACACCACTGCAATCTACTACTGCCTAACAAGTACAGCCTCTGTCCCAGCTCTATCACACCCCACATTTCCCTTCATGCCTCACCTGCACTTCAAGCGAGCAATTCTCTCATTGTAAAGGCTTTTCCATATATTCAAATTCCCACGAGTGTCGTAGCAGTAGTTATCAGTCACTGAGAGCATTTTATTACTGTAAAGTGCAGAGGACAAATGGCACTCACTTCAGACCTTCAATTCAAAAATAGCCTTTCTTCCATCGTCGGCCTTGTTGCAGTGAATGAAGCTGAAGTTTAATGAAAGAGTAGAAATGGGAAACTCATGTTTTAAAGCCAGTTTTTGTTTAAAGTGTAGAAGGAGTCTTGCATTGGAGAATTTCCACATATCAAGTTTAGATTTTTCATTTCAGCAGCAAATTAAAAAGCTCTATCCCATCATGAGCTGGTGCTGTAACTTAATATGCATATGACGTCTGATGACAGGTTTCAAATTGCCCAGAATGTGTCAAAAACAAAAGTTCAGAGACAGTTTCATTCAGTGGTTTATTCCTGTGAAATATATGAGAAAGTTACATTTTGTAACTAAAAGAGTGTTTAAAGTACAGTATGGCCCCTCCCCCACACCTTTCCAACACGTGAACAACCTACTAATGTAAATCCTCCCCTCCCCCCCCCTCCTTGATAGCTGGCTATGCCTCTGCCTTCAAAGTAAAGGTTATGCAGAACAACAAAAAATACACGTGATATCCAGTGTCAGCAGATTTTATGACCCGCTTGGAAGCTTTTGTTTTACCTGATGTAACGTGTCATATAAATTACCATGCACAGTAGAAAAAGCACAGGTGTAGATAACAAAAGAAATTCTGGTTGCAAATTTCATGGATACTGTTAGCGATAGCTCACTGTCACACTGTTATAATTTAGCTGGATGTTTTGTTGGCACATGATGGCACCTCATTTTACTTACAAACACCACAAAGATCAGTGACAAATTAAAGGAAAAATTAGTAACCTGTATATCTCTTTTATGGTTTGGATTCATCTGTCCTCTTTGAAGGGGCACTGCAAGTTAAAAGAAACTTTTCTATGATTGCAACATTTTATTCTGATGGGTGTGGTCTCCTCTATGATGACAGTGCCCCAATCCAGAGGGCATGAGGATTACTGAATGGTTTGATGGGTATCAATTTAAAGCAGTTCATAGATTATGGCCTCTGTAATAACAGGATTAAAACCCAATTGAATAATCACAGGACAAAAAATCATAAAAACACCAAATAATAAAGGGAATAAAAAAGATACAGGAACGTCTGTTGAGAGATTGATGTTCCAGAGACCAATGAGAAGGTACACTGGCACTCTTCTGGTAGGACTACTTTTTTTTGTCTTTCTTTAATTTGTCAAATGTTGAAATATCTCTAAATATTTTCCCTATGCAGTTTTCTCAGGTGCTTGTATGGAACAGTCGCCCACAAAGATCTGAAAGTTCTGGCTTACAAATTCTGTCTTCTTGAGAAACTCCTCCAGTTTCTGGACGGAGACTTCCACCATGTCATTGTTCTCATCCTCGTTGAGGCCATAGTAAGCAAAAGATGGGAATTTATAACGGTTCATAAAAGGTGTGTTGTGGTCATAGTCAACACAGCAATATGCTGACCACAGGTAGGTGGGAACTGCAATGCGGTTCATGTTTTCCCGGCGGATCATCTTGCCAGAGGTGGTGACCCCGGTGACAATGTGCGCCGTTCCACGACAGTAGTTGTTAAGCCTTTTGCGGATCATGTGTTCCTGTTTGTCCCAGATTAGGTTGTTGACTTCAGGCACCACGGGTACCACATTGGTGAGGGTGTAGGTAGCTGCTTTGTCGTCAGGTTCATTCTGATGCTCGTCCGGGTTGAGCGTGCCGCGCTCGTAAAGGATGGCATTTGTGTAATCGTCAAGAACAGCTTGGGCATCTTCAAAGTTCATGTGCACGTAACTCCGTGGAAAGGGCTGCATCTCGTCTGTTTCAGAGGATGTGGACAGCTGTGCAGAGAGACAGACCCACAGCAAATGAGGGCACGAGCATGACTGAATGCGATTACATGACTACGCAACAAATTCTTACGCACATTTCAAAGCAGTGAACTTTCTAGTTTTCTTTACCTGAGGTTCGTACATCCAAGGGACATCCATACATTTCTCCCCTTCTGAGCGTTTAAATATGTAGGCAGAGTAGATCGGTATATGGTCCACAGTGTTGTACAGAGTCACGTAGCGTGGCTTTTTGTTGTAGTACTGACAAATGAACTGGACGGAGTGGTGTTCCAGTCCTCTCGGTGGCGTTCCCATGTAGAGGAATTCTTTGCACTCTGGAGAAAGCTCTTTTTCCACTTTGCCTATCACTGCTAACATTATGCTGAAAAGTAGAAAAGCTGTCTGTGCCCAAGCTGCCATAGCTAGGAGGGATCCTGAAGCCACTCTGGTAACAAGTTAAAGCTGTTAAATAGTATGTTAGGTATATTTTTGAGCTCTGCTACAAATGACTGCGTGCGTCTTTATGCTCAGTAAAACAGCTCATACACATTTCCCACTCTGCTCTCTGTAATCTGGCCTCAGTATGCAAAGTAATGCCATCTTTATACCTTATCATATCCACCCACAGCTGGCGAAACAGGGACTATGGCCAATGGTGCCTCACACTGGTTAGAGTAATGTTATTTCTTTGAACACATCCTCCCAGATGGTCAAGCATTTATCAAAAACACAAAGCTATACTTGCAATTTTAAAGTGCCTTGGGTTTTTAAAGACCGTTGTGCGTCATTATGAACTTTATATTTGCTACCAATGAAGTGTATACTCTACTCTACTACTACTGATATCACTGACAAATGCAGAAAAAATACAAGTTAAGTATATCAGGGTTACATTAACGTACATTTTTGTGTGTGTACACTCATGTTGTTAAAAACCCACCATCTGCCTGTTCTGCACAGCCTCATTTTTAACAGGCACGGTCACATGTATACAGTGAGTGTATCCTTACAGCCATCCTTTTTTTCAAAGTAGTAACTATTAATCGCTGCATGTGATGCCTTTAAGGTACATGTGTAAGGTTTGGGTTTTTTTCTTTTTACAGAAACATGAGTTACACTCTCGCCTAAGGATGTAAATGCTGCAAGTACAGAATGCAGACTACTAAAATGACTACAATTGCTATGATATGATCATGGCTGCATTCTATGTTATCAAGACTGTTATGACTGTTGGTAGCTGTAGAATTCCCACAGAGCTGCATAAACTTGCTAACAGCTATCTCAGCCCCACAGTTATTAATTCTAACTGCCTCAAAAATAATAACTTGCAGCACAACAACAGGGTAGTAACATGAAAGAACTTTTATTTGCAAAATTAAGAGATTACTAAAATAAAATACAGAATAAAATACATTATAAATAAAATACAGAATGATTGTGCCACAAAAGAGGCATATCCTGAGATATCATTAAAACCAGCTTATTTGTGTCCTCTGTAATGGACATTTGTTTTTGGTCTATAGCTTTTCACTCATTTGAGCTTGTCCTGATGTACTAAATAGAGGAAATCCTGGGCTTTCCATTGATATCTCATGTGTTTGGGTGGCCCCTTTTAGCTCCAAAGAGGAAGGAAATCACAAAAAAGTTCAAAGTTCTTCTCAGGAAGATATAACAAAATCAAATACGTGATTGTGACCAAATGCATATTTTCAACACTTTCCAGACATAGAAGCACTCATTTTTTCCAGCAGCAATATGTGACATGCTGTTTTCTATCTGCTGGTCATCCTGTGAAATGCAAAATAATGAAACATTTTTGGATAAAGACAGAATATAAGTTAAAGATACTCGTGGTTGCTCAGTTCTTATATATGGCTATAATTTTCTTTCCACGGAGGAATTTCTGAAAATTGTATTTTACTATATAAATAAGTGCACATTTGAGCTTTATTTCTTCAGCATTACCATATACAGCACAGGTCAGTAACAGTCAAATTCTTCTCCGTCACCTAGATCAAAAATGAGGTAGAATATTTAAGCACAATGTTTTAAATTTGGTTTGAACATCTGGACTCTGAAATTGAGCACTTTAGAGTTCATAATACAAATAGAGTCGAGGAGAACAATAGGTGGGATAAAGACAAAGATGTGGACAAATTACAAGTCAGGTCATTTTGGCTTGAATGTATTCAGTTTAAGTGCAGGAAATTTTAACAGCTATGGCAATTACCCCAGGAAGGATTTAATAAAGATGCCATTGGGTTCATAATTTGTTTCCATAAAGGCAAGATTAATAAATTGTAACAATTCAATGGCTCTATTCCTTTCTAACTGAATTATACTTTAATTTATTCAATAACATGTGAAGCAGGATTGCTCAACACTGTAAAGTTGGCTTAGTCTTGTTTTTGCAATAGATGCATTTCAACATTCCTGCATTACTCTGCATCCTGTTAAAAAGTCTGCAACTTTTTTTCATGTGTGAAACCCTTTTTTATTGCCAGTGTGTGAAACAGACTGCAATGTGACTTTAAAATATACTGTTTGTTAATTTCTGTGTTGCCTCTAAGAGCCTGTGAGTGAGACAAGGACATGACTATTATGGTCACAATGCCTCTCCTCAGCTCCCAAAGATAGCACTGACCAGCTTTAGCTAAGTATAGCATACAAATGGACTCAAAATAGAAAACCTTAGCAAGCAAGCAAATTAGCATTAGCCAGCGAGCTGCCAGTTTCTCCATAAAAGTAGGGTAAGCTAACACTAGCCAGAAAGCTAATGGCTAGTTTTATCTAATGAAGCCTGTCTATCTGTAGGACAAAAACAGCAGAGAAAGCAGGACAGACTTCAAGTCAATTATAAAGTTTTTCTAAAACCAAGTCATCTTTCTTAAAACACCTCTGGGTAGTTGTTTGGGCTTTTAATTTGATTCATTAATTGCTAAACATTAACTTTAACAAAATAATTGTCAGATTTTTTTAAGTGGTTAAAAACACTGAAGAATATTTTTTAGAAAACATGTTTTCCTTTTATTCAGGTTTTCTCTGAGCTGGCTCATGTTAGCTAACACTAGCTTGGCTACTAACTGCAAGCTAGCTTTTGACAAAATACTGTTTTTCATGTAGAAGATCAACTATGAAAATTCCATCATACTAAAACATTGGTAAGGTCTCTCTTCTTCTTTAAGGGATTTTCTGCCACACATCCCTTGTAGAATATGGCCATGTCACTGTCTATGTCAGTCTGGCTCCTTAAGAATGTCTCCAGAGTCTTTAGAGGTACCTCGACTACACTAAATCCAGCCTGTTCATTCAGTGCATAGCCGCCGTAGCTAGGGAACATAAACCTCACTTCATATGGTGAGTTATGATCAAACTGTGGACAGCAGTATGCCAGCCATAAGTGTTTTGGAATGATGAGACGGTCCCTGTTATTACGCTGAATGGCAGCCCCTGAAACAGTCACCCCTGTCACTACAAAAGATTTGCCGTGGCAGAAATTGTTGAGACGTCGGCGAACGATGTCTAAGTATGGGTTCCAAGAGGTTTCCAGGAAATCTGTGATCAGTGGAACTATGTTGGTCAGGGTGTAAGTGGAGGATTTGTCATCTGGTTCTGCTTGGTGCAAGTCAGGGTTTAGTGGGCCACGTCGATATCCTACGGCATCCGTGTAGTCCTCTAAAACAAGCTGGCTGTCCTCGATCAGAGGGGGAGTCTTTTCACTCAGGGGAAGTGCCTTCATGTTACTACTCTCATCATTTGAAAGCAGCTGTAAGAAGAGGAAGTAAAAGAAACATGACATTTAGCAATTTTAAAGTCCTCAATCCACAGGCCAAGACACTTAAATAAGAGCAGTAAAGCCTGGAAGCATCTTAATCTAAGGCAGGTATTACACATCATATTTCACAGCCTGATTGTTTGTTCACATGACAGTTAAAAAAATATAGGTGTCAGATTCTTAATCCTGTGTTGCCAGATTCAGGTCAGCTTAAAAAAAAAGAGCCAGATCCAGGAGGTCAGATGTACCTTACCATAACCCAACCAACCCTATTCTGGATGCCGAAACTGAACACACACACATCTCTCACACTAAAATATAATTGGAAAGCTGGTTGGCAGGGATACCAAAGTAATTATGGTTTATAATGACTCACATCAAATGAGCTAGAAAAAATAACTTGCCTTAAGTGTGCTATGGATGAATACAGTGAATGTGCTACAGAAGAAATGTTGAAGCTAGACATTGATTTTAAAGATGTTATAACATTAATATCAATGTTTTCTTTCACTAAAGTGATGAATAAGAATATGTATCAACATTCCAAGCTAGTCTTTTAAGTTATTAAATCATCATGATTGAGCGATTATTTCAACAGTACAATGCTGTCAAAGCTTAAAACACTCACAATATTGAGATATGTGCTTATTCAGACTTAGTGAAAACAGATGAAATACGGTGATTTATGTGAAATCAATATGTAGCAAGGAGCAGCAATTAGTCAAATTCAGCGCCAGAAGGTATTTCTTTTAGCCTTGAGTCCAAGGCTGAACCAGAGCCAGAATACACCAAGCCTTAGCACTTGAGGCAATTTATTTCTTCTGGCCCATTGGATATGAGTCATTATAAACCAAACCTACTTTGGTAACCTAAGAGGCTCTGTTAATCAGCTTTCTTAGAATACATATTTAGCCAACACAAACAAGCTTCGACTTTAACTCTCATCTTTCAAACTGCCAAACTGTGTCTTTAAAATAGAGGTGTGTTTGAGGGCATGTCTGGGTGATTAACAGCTTATACTGTGCTGTTGGGTCTTTGGTAACAAGCACCAGACTGATTTGAAGTAAAATTAACTCATGTAAACTAAAGTAACTCTTGGAAAAAAATATAAAAATTCTAGTACCCGGTATATGCACTGTTCTTGTATAGATTAGATTTTTTAAACAAAATGTTATCATGCCCCAAAACATGTAACATCTCTTCAAAAAGTGGCAAGTTATAGCTACTGTGCTGCTCTGAGGCTCTACCTGAGGCTCATACATCCAGGGGGTGTCCATCCTCCTCTTCCCGTCAGACTTCTTAAAGATGTAGGCCGAGTAGAGGGGGAGATGGCGACTGCTGTCATACAGTGTGGCGTAGCGAAGTTTGTCTGCATATTTCTGGCAGATCCACTTGAGGCTTGTTCCTCTGATCCCTGCAGGCGGGGTCTGCATGTAGAAGAATTGGCTGCACTCTTTGAAGCTCTTGGACACAGTGGCGCTCACCAGGTGGGACGCCATCAGCAGGGTGATGGGGAATAAAGACGTGAAAAACAGATGCATCCTCACACAGCTGGAGTTGCCTGAAGAAAATATAACTGGGTTATTTCTTTATCGGGTCTGACATGTTTGCTATGGCTGTTGCGCACCAATAAAAGACCGAGAGACTCAGACTCCATACTCCGGTTCGGCTTAACGTGTCATCCTGTATCAGCATTTCCTTCAGCAGGCTAGTACAATGACAGCTGGACAGAGACGTTCTATGCAAAGCAGCAGTGGCTCAGGTTGGCCTGGTTGGCTGGATACCTCACTTATCTGGTTTAGTCATGCAAGTCTGCACCTTTCTACCTTTCTAAAAATTACATCACCATGTTCACTCTATAGGCTAGGCTTCCTACACCCGTGTGTTGTTGTAACTTTATATTTTCTATATTTCATGCAGCACATGGTCTTATCAGTATGCACTATGTAAAAATGTAAACTCCAAAGATACTGGACAACCTGGATGGATGATATGGATGTTGTACAATATAAAACGTTGGGGTGTTGTAAATGTAACTCAAAGCAGGACACAATGATTTACAAGTTACTTCCTCTTGAGTTTGCAACTAGTCATAGTAATGTACTTCTCTGACTTTACCTTATAATTTGTGTTATCGCAGTTCGTTTCTAAATTAGGATTCCTTAATATTAGAAATTTCCATTATCATGCTCCTGCACTGGTCGTCTCCTGTGGCCTAACACTTCTCTGAATCGAGGATGGGCTGGATTCATTTGAGCTCCTGAAGTCCTGTTCTTCTGTCAGTATTTAAGGAGCAGCTCCACCACCAGATTGTCGTCTTCACTAGAGTGGTGATCCATCTCCTTGATGACCTTTGCATTCTCCAAGCACTGATGTCCTCTTTTTCTCAAATTCCTGTGACTCTCATGTGGCGGAAGAACAAAGCATCTGCAAGATGCAATCACATCTCACCGTCAAGCTGGTCCATGTTTTCAGGAAATCCTTGCTTAAACACTCACTCAGCAGCTGACTTGCCTGCCCATCCTCCAACAATTAGGAAAGCCTGCAGAGATCGGATCAGTGGCCCTACCCATAGTAAGCATCCTCACCACCTTCTGACACCTTTCATAAACAGCTCAGCATCAGATTCTGTCCGGACTGACTTTCTTTTCCTCTGTCCTAGGGTAATTCTACCAAGTAGCTGGCTCCATTCCCGTGGATCCGCAGTTCCTCTGTTTTTGCTCAGTGCTCTACGACATTAAAGCCCCTTAACAGTCAAATACTCACTCTTGGGTCTTGCTTCAGAGTCTGTTGGTAATGGCTTTAAACGCCTTGACAAAAATCTCCGTAGCCAACAAACATAAAAACTCAATTTAATGTTTTGAAGTAAAAATTAATTCCTGGACTGTTAAAAACAACGGATTATATTTTACAGTGTTCTGTCTTCTGAGATTAAACACTATGTCTATATTAAATATACATATGCAGCATGTGAGGTGATGTAAAAGTGTAAATAACGCAACAAAATATCTAATTAACAATTGAATCACTTCCTGTCTGTAAAAAAAAATCTGAAGAATGAAATAATGTAATGTTTGGTTAGTAAAAATATCACTTTACATTGTACCACAGTGTTCTACTCTTACTTCCAGCTAATGTAACAATAACCTTTTCAGAAATGCTGAAATGGTCCAACTGAGAATAATAAACTCAGCCGGCTTCTTCCTGCACCTTTCATTCACAGCATCTCAAACAGTGCTGCTGGCTGTGTGCCACGAGGCCCACTTTCCTGCTTCACTAGCCAAGCTGAACGCTGCAAGAACAGCACCTGGGACCAGGCTAGCTGGACATGGCTTTGATGTGATTGCTGTGAAGCATAAGTGAGCCCATGTAACTGACATGAACATCTGGCAGCCTTCACAAAATCCTTCATAGGGGGAAACTCCAGAGGTGTTAGTGCGGTTTCAGAGAACTGGGTACGCCTGAACCCAGACATGAGCAATCATTCTGCATGAATCCAGTGTGGAATTCATAGGACGATGTAAAACCATGACAAGCTGGGACATGACCTGAAGACCAGAAAGACGTTAAGAATGAACTCTATCAAGACTGGTGATATTAAAGGTTGGGCACTTCAAAAAACAATTACGTTTCTGCAGACAGTTTGAGCAGAGGTTCAATAATGTGGTGGTAGTATAACTAAATTCCTCTGCTTAATCAAAGCCTTCAGAAACTTTAAGAAAAGGTTGAGAGGCAAACAATATACCACCATCTACAGCTGCAACATCCCCTACCAGCTGACTGGTAGAGGGTCCACTGTCTCTGTCAAGGGGGCCAGTGCCCACATGTTTTCCCAAACTGATGGTGTTATTAACCATCTGAACATTGTCCAATATGTGCTTCATTTGATTAACATTGAGTTGAAAAGTATTTACTTTGCAATATATGGCATATTGGAATAAAATATTAGAGAATCCACCTCAAGAAAAGCTGATATTGTTTCAGTTTGTTTTTTAAACAAACTGAAGGTAATACACATTCCATATTGAAATTTGCAACTAAGTGTTTTGATGACACTGAGATAATATGAGAAAATATTTATATGCAATGAAATTAGTCATCTTCAACCTGTTTTCTTTCCGCTGTCATACAACGATTAGAAGTTGTAAGATTTTTTTGTGCAAAATTATCATACATACTATTGTAACTATTATTCGTTTTTAGTTTTTAATAAACTACATTTCTGAAATTTACTTTACCAGCAACTGAAGAGGGCAGGACTGCTACTTTCATCTTCATTAATCCCCATTTAAACCATCCGGTTGTGTGCACACTTGTGCTGCTGTGCATTTAACAGCACCCTCTAACGACTAACTCCCATAACTACCGCCAGAAAAGCATTGCGCATGCTCAGTAAGTGTTTGCTGCCAGCACTGCGAGGCATACAATTCACTGTTGAAACAATATTTAACTGTGCTTTTACGCTCAACGCTACTGACAGCAGCGTTTGTGAATGCAAGTTGAATGGAAGTTAATTTCATTGCTATTCTGTGACTGTTGCCTCGCGAGTTTGCATTGCTCTGGCTGTGTTGTGCATTTAATACAATTGCGTGCTAACAAATGCTTTCGCTCGCCAGCTTACTGGCTAAATAACCCTTCCGGACGTTCTGCCTGTAAAAGCATCGCGGCGTGCAGTACACTCCAGTGTCCAGGCTGGTAAATAGGGGTGTGTTTGCCCTGCTACAGCATTGGTTAGGCGCTTGTCAATGTCCAGTCACGTGGTGTCACACTGACGGCCATGTTTCCGAAACACAAACAACAAGAAGAGCAGCGACTGGGAGCCAGCAGACACATACTGATACGCAGAAGCGACCGTTGGTGGAGAGGGGAAAAAAAATAATAAATAAAATACAGAGCACGACTTTCTGAAAGTACTATTCTGTCGAATGAATACGTTTACAGTGTTTAAAGAGACCAATGCATTCGATAAATTGGCTGTAGACACGCCGTGCAGACAAGCAGTCTGGTAGCTATAAACAGTGAAGGTAAGCCATGGTTCCTCTTTGCTGCCTGTCTTTTAGCTAGCTGGCTAACGGGAGCTAACATGCTAATAGCTTCTGCAGCTCGAACGGGTCGGTGTTATCTGTCATGAAAAAAAAAACATTTTCACTGAGTTGTTTAAGAGCTAAAATTCTGTTTCTGCTGTTGTTTGTTTTGTTTACAACGCATTAGTACCGACAGCGGAGTGGCGCTGGTGGTCGTCCGCACATTAGCGGAGCAGGCCGGGGACTCAGATCCCAATACTCCGCCCCCTTTGCCGACATATCTGGTGTTATTTGAACCTACAAGCCAAGGCCTTTACGATCAGTGCATACCTTGTGCTAAGTTACGAAGCAAGCTAGCTAGCAACTGCTCATATGCAATAGAAATATGATATCGAGGCCAGTGAGGTTGTAACTAGGGCTTTATTGCACTTTGCCCACAAATCAGTTCGCTCTAATTGGCTTGAGAGGCGAGCAGGGTACGCGCTAGCGTAGCTCGCCACAACTGTCGGTAGCTAACGTCAACTCCGACTGTTCTGTTTAAATGTTAGCCACATTTAGCACCATCGGTATAGTTAATTTAGTCAGAGTTGCAAGTTTGCTTGCACTTGTATCACTTTGAGCCACTGGTACCGCTCCCTTTTACTCAGAGTGGAATCTTTATCCCGCCACGTTTTGGAGTGCATGAGTTTTGCTAATATTCATACGCACAAGAAATCCCATATTCCGACCTTGCATTATTTATTTAATTATTTATTTATTATAATTTTTTAAGCAAAGTTGATACAGGGTATTAAACGAAGTTAAAAAAAAAAAGTCTGTTGGACGGCGCATAAAAGTAAAGAAAAATTTGCCATATCTGCTAGGAGCTTAAAGAGCAATAAAGTGTCATTTTATTCGGTGAGGTTTTCTCTGTGAAATTATTTTCTTTCTGGATTTCCCTTAAGCCATAACTGATCTGGCCATTATAACTGGAGCCTGGTATTACAGGTGTTTTTATTGTGCTGCTTTTAAATTGACAATTGGTACACCTGCTAAGTACACCTGTTTAAAGTACAGTACTCATGTAAAAAAAAAAAAAGTACTTTGCGTTCTGATCAGGAGCCTGAACATGTCTGACAAACACAAACTGGGAACTGTGTGACTGGAATGGTTTGAATCCTGTTTTAAAGGGCATGTTTCAATTTTCCTGTTCACACATGACAGTTCATTAGGTCCTACTGTCTTTTAAATTCATGTAGAAGTTTATATGCTTTTGGTTTACAAATGCATAAAATGGTCTTTTCCCCCAATAATTCAGAAGAGAAATTTAAATTAAGATTTTATATTTGCTGTATATTGGAATGTAAACTGGACCTGCTCAGTATCTTCCATTTGTCTTAAACATGTCTGTATTGCAGTGTTAATAGTTTAATGTGGACTGCTCTTAAATCTGCTTACTCGGTAATTATTAAATTCTCCTTTTTACATTTTTCTGTTTTCTGTCTTTAAAATCTTTACCAGTTGCAGTGATTATGCACTGAGTAGTTCCATCAATTTGTATTGCCTTCTAAAATGATAATGAATGTAATAACTAATGTAAATAAGGCAATCATATCTACTGGCAATGTAGCAGATTTCTTATAGGTACAAAAGTTCAATTAAGACCTCGATTTTCCTACTTTTTTTTCCTTTTCTTTTTTTTAAACCAAGAAAACAGGGATATGTGAGCAGTGGGGCTTTTTTTTAAAAACTGAACTTTAGTAATACAATAGGAGGATGTACTGTGCAGTTGCTAGGAAATTGCATTCATTTGTAGGTTGAGTGGGTTAGCGGTCTTTAAACAGGTGAGCAGATTAATTAATTGGTTTTGGACATTTGCTTTAAAATAACAAAGGCCAGCATCCTAGCTGCTAGGATTTCCTGGAGAGAGGTTTAGGTGAAAAGTTTAAAAAAAAGTTTCTGTCTGTATTTGAGATGCTCTGATTAAAAGGGCAGCAACTACATTGTTAGTGGGGGTGTCCAGTTGAGTCTCAAAATTATATCCAAAGAAAATTTGCAGTAATTATATTTTACAGAAACAATACTGAATGTTGAAAAATGCAGGCAGCAGTAGGGCTGGGCGATATGGCCTAAAATTCATATTGCGATATAATTTGAAGCATGTGTGGTAACGATATATATCGCGATATATTCTTTTCTTCTGTATAACCTATTTTCCACACTATAAGGCACACTTAAAATCCTTTAATTTTCTCAAAAATCGAGAGTGTGCCTTATGTATGAATTCTGGTTGTGCTTACTGACCTCGAACCGATTTGGGCGAGCAGAAATCTGTTAAAAAATGTTTTAGTTCAACTTTGGTAAGCCGCACTGCTTGATGGATTGTAAGAGCATTCCAGTGCCGTAGTGAGGAGCTTCGCGGAGTAATCTGGGTCCAAAACTCCATCTACTTTAGGTCCCAAAGTCAAACGAACACTAAGAGTTAAAAACGGTCTAAATTCTTTCATCTTTAATTAAATCATCAGCATTGCTGCTTTATCGGGTGTAACAATTAAGTTTAGCATCCATGAAAACAGAATTTATTAAATTTAACGGAGTTACAAGTTAACAGGAATTTAGCTCGCTAGTTTACACCTAAACATTTCATACCATGTTCTGACAGAGATCTTTGAAACTAATTAAAACGTACAGCTCTGCTACCACTTCCAACATAAATGAAGACAGAAAAATAAACAGCAGTGGCGTTTGCAGGGTTACTGAAGTTGGACTACCTGGTATGTAACGTTATGCTACGTGATTGCTAGTGACACAGCTATGTTAGCATAACATTAGCACAGTGAAGCTGGAGGATGAACTCCAACTTTTTCTCCACTCGATAAAAGTTAACGTGAGAGATTCTGGTGGTTGGGGACAAATGCAATCGCATAGCAGGATGCTATACACGGGCCAAACTTCAGTCAGGAGAACAACTGAGATTATTCATCCACAATACGAGGTTAGTTATTAATATACTGCAACAACATGGGACTAGAACAGCTGCGAGAGAATTCAACATTAATGAATCAATGTTACGGAAGTGGAGGAAGCGCAGTTTTTGGCTTTCCCCATATTTCAAAAGTGCTTCATCTCTTTGCTATGACTGTCGCCCGCCATAATTTGCAGATGATAATGGTTTTAGCCGGTGCGATGCTTTCAACCAAAACAGGCGCAGCTTGATGACATCATCAACATGCGCTATCGCGATAGAGCGATATAGTCAAAATCTCTATCGCTGGCCAAATTTATATCGTTTCTGTCGTATATCGTTTATATCGCCCACTCCTAGGCAGCAGCATTTATAAGTGTAACTAAATGAAGTGCATTTTCCATCCTTATTTTCTGGTGAGCTGTCACTGATGGCACGTGTACTAATTTGAATTGTGAGTCTAATGAAACAACATGCGGCAGCGTTTATAGTTAAATGTTAGTGACACAGTTAGCCCAGGTAGTGTTTTCCCTGGAAGTTTTAAGCAATAGTGTGAATAAGTGCGTAACACTTTAGTTTAGTAGTAAATAAAGTTAAAGAAGCTGCACAATATTGTCACATTAAAAAAAAAAGCAGTATTTTTTCCCTGGTATTTTCTATCTAAGGCTGAGCTTTTTAAACAGGTGCTTAAGTCTCTTTTTTCATGTAACTGCATCAGTAATTGCCTAATTTCCATCCACTTTGTTCTTCTTTTTCATAACAAGTGCAGCTAACCATGCTAGGTTGAGTCATTTGTAGCCTGGTTGTAGTTGGCGGTGTTTTTTGTTCTTTTTCTTCAAGTCATGAAAAGTTTGTTTCCACCTTTGGCAGGAGCAGTTTTCTTGCACATTTTTTTTTAGCATAGTGCTTTGTTGGAGGTTGTTTAAGTAGCTCAGTCTTTAGTTAAATAGTCGTTGGAGAATGACATGTGACTCTTGCTCTCAGACATGTCTGGGCCTTGTCTTGTTGTAGTGCACACTAGGGATTGTAAATGCATGCCTTACTATAGCAATGATATTGCACTGTGGCGGTTTTATAAGATGTGAAAATATTTTATACCAATATTATCGTGAAGGATGGCACAGCCCCAACTGTAAGAATAATAAAACCTACAGCTTCTCTGAACCAGTGTGTGTCATTGGCTAACATTATCAACAGAAGAGCTTCTTGGCTCTGTTGCAACAGGGTTCATCTAAAAAAAGGAAAAACAAAAAAGGGAGAGGAAAAATTGGCTTCAAACCATCGTAGCCAACATCATTTTATCTTCTTTTTTAAAATTTATTTATCTATTTATTTTCACATAGATTGTCAGTTGTTGGGAATCTTTTGTTTCAGTTTAAATAAATCAAATTGTAATAAGCCTGAGTAAAGTTTTCTTCTCTTCATGCTTTCCTCATGTGCAGTATTTACTACCAACATAACTAAGCGTGTAGCAAAACAGCGCATTAGAGGGCAGAGAAAGTAGCATCCATGCAAATGCAAGATGACAAAGCTAATTTAAAACGAAACCGATTGAAACAGCAATGTCTATTTTCTCTAGTTTGCTAGCACCATGTAGCCAATCTCTGTAAAGTGCGTAGGTAACCTTGCAAGTGTCGGTTATATGCAATGATGGCCATTTAATAAAATGTTGTGAAAACTTGTGAACTTAACCTTTTTTGTTCAGCGTCTGTGGTGAGGGAATATTGAAGGAAAGTAGTCACCAAGATGGGAAGAAGCTGGAAAATATGGCTTGTGTTTAGTCATCAGTTTGCGAACCTAAGTGGTGTTCATGTTAAAGGGGCAATATATGTATGTATGTGTATGTGAGCATTTGCTGCTGAAGTTTAGTTGCCTGGATATTGCTTTAGTTGCCATGACATTTTGAGGAATCATCCCCAGCCAGCTGCATGGTTTAGGAAGCATCTGGTTCACAACATGACTGAAATAGACTCGGTGTATTTCAGGATGGAAAATCTCCTGTGAGCAGCAGAAATGTTGGAGTATGACTGAGTGCTATACTAGAAATAGTTTTCATTTATTCAGTGAAGGAATACCACAGCACTTTCCCCTCAACTCAGAGTGCTGTAACACATTGATCAAATTGGGTATCTGTTGGTGAGTCCCAGGCACGCTGCGTAAATGGTATGTTGAGTCTTTGCGGAGAAAATCAAATTATGGTTCCTTCACTCACTTACAACAGAGGTGGACTGCCAAGCGGTGAAAAAGCATCTCAAGAGCAGCAGCTAATTTATGAAGTGTTTACTTCTTCCCATTTTTCTTTGAAATTTTATATTTCTCTCATTCTGTCTCTGTTTAACACTATTTTGTTTTCTTTTTTTTTTTTCCAGTGGTGCAAAGGGAGGAGGTCAGGAAATAAAGGAGTTACCTAGAAGGTCTCCGTCAGTCCACATTTCAGTTGGAGCGAGAGAAAACGGCACAGAGGGAGTGAGAGAAAGGAGAAGAGGAGTGCGAGTCGCGTCTGCTCTTGGCAGCTGTTCCAGCAGCCTATTTCATTGTTTTTTTCGGCTGTTATTTTGTTCCTGCGTTACGTCTTTTGATCAATCAGTTCATATTTTTAACGTTAATGTGAGATATAACTGCTGTAAAAAAACAAAAAGGAAATCGCAAACAAAAAAAAAGAAGACATTATTAGCAAGAGTGTTTTATTTTGTTCCATTGTTAATTTCTAAGGTTCTTTTCGTTTCTTTTTTATGTTAACAACCTTTTTTGGCTGTGAGTAGCAGGAGCTTCCATTCTCCAAACTTATCATTGAAAGCCCTTCCTTAGTTAGGACCTGATAACCTGGTATTCCTCAAGCACCTGAAACTGGCAGCTATTCTCTTTGTGTGTTTGGGGAGCTCTGTGACCACAGCTTAAGCACCACTCAGCCTTCTAGTCACCTAAGCCTAACTAAAGCCAGCCAGCTCGAGCCTGGTCCAGCCCAGTCCAGCCTGCTCCGATTATCTGGACAGGGTAAGGAACTGTTTTCTTTTGTTAACCCTCCTTTTCAAAGTTGCATTTTATTCGTCACAAAAAAGAAAAAACACAAAGAAATCTGGATACTTTTTTCCTCCTTAGATACTCAGTTCTGTGTGGACGTGAGGAATATGACTGCTGAGACTCTTAACTTCGGCCCAGAATGGTAATATTTGTATTTTATTTTATATTTTATTATTTATATATTTTCAATTTTTTTTATAAAGAAATATTTCCCAGAGGAACCAAGTGCTTATTTTGTGTTTGTTTTTATTTGTGGGGGAAAATTAAAAGCGGATGAGTTATGCTGAGTGCCATTCTGTTTTTTTATTTTTAAGGAAACTTTGGACATAATGAAATGTGCAGATTTAAGTAACCTCCAAATGACCTTCTTGAATGTGGCCGTTAAATCGCAATGGCAATTTGCTTAAGTCTTAACGTCCTGTGTCAATTGGACTCGTTCCCCTGAAAATGACACTAGGAAAAGATCAGGGGTTAGTGAAGTTGGTTAGGTTATAAGCTGCTGTTCGATCAAATTCAGCTCAACCAAAACGGTTCAGTGTCCGTACCAAAAACCATGAAAACAAAGGCCCAAAATGGAAGCGATGACCTGAAATACTTAGATTTTTTTTTAATGGTCTCTCATTAAAGTAGAGCTGATGTCTTTTGGTTTATGAGTTTTTGTTGGACAAAATGAGTTGTGTGAAGGTGGCACCAGCATTACCTGAGAAAATCATTGTAAGAGTAAACCGGTATGAAAACGGCTGTTAGAGATGCTGTTAAGTAACCTTAGCTGTGCAGATGGCATAAGCAGCCTTCATTCTTCAGTTGGCTTCAGGGTGTTGACCTATCCTTTGTGTTTGGATTGGCAATGTGACCAAGAAATGAACACTTAAATTGAAATATAAACATTTGTAATGTCATACCTTGGTTGGATCTTTCTGCAGTTTGAATATAGGCGGCCAAGTTACCACATAAGACAATATGTTGTAACAGGAGAGAGCATGCAGTTCGTTTACAAGTGTGAATGAATCATGCACGTGTAAACTTTAGTTCTCCCCTGAAGGCCTTATTTTCTGTTTGATCAAACTTCAGTTGGATAATACAGACTTTGTTGTGGCTTTAGTCACCATGTTAGCAGGTAAGCTAATGGTTACCATTAGGTGAAATTACATGGTATGCCCAAAGCACATCAGCTACCTGGCTAAGCCTAGCTTCGCTACTCACTTTTCATAAGTGAAATGTTGTCTGAAGTCAGTTCTGTTGTCCTTCTCTGGAATGTGTGTTTGAGCTTTTGTGGACTCAGTACTACTCTTGGCTAGTGTTGCTCACTGTTGGCGCTGGGAGTAGAAGAGAGCGACACTAATGGTAGACACTACGAATCAAGCATAATATTCTCGGATTCTTACAATAAATTCTCGGTCAGTCTTCACATAGAAATCATTACACAGGTTCTTAAAGGCAACAAATAGTACAGAGGAAGGTCTCAGTTTTAAATTCCGTTACAGTCTGTTAACACATGGAAAAAAAAAGACGTTGCTGAAGACGTTTAAACTTGATATGAAAGTGCTTTTAAAAATGAGTCTTGCTTGCAGGCGCCCTGCCGTGGTTAGTCATTTCAGTGGTAACAAAGTGTCGGTTTTGTCACTGCTCTCTCCTGTCCATCTCTCTTTCCTTCTGCTGTTTCTGTAGCTCAGTGAATGTTTGTGCAGCGATTAATGGGGGGGCGTAGTCTGCAGTTTGGTAGCTCTCCATCTCTAACGGCCCGTGACTGCTGTGTGCATTCTTGGTGCAGTGCCAGTCTCACAGAATATTTCTGCCTTTACACATCTGCAGCTGCTTTGCTCTCAGTGGCTCTCGTAGCTCACTTTCATCCTCGTACCCTTTTTAATATAGTTACAGAGCGGCCGGTTCATGTGCTCGCCACATACAGCTGCCTGACCAGCATGTTTACACGTCTTTAAAGGCCAGTTAACCTTACGAAATTATTTAGACCATTCGAGCTTTAGTTGGCAGCGCAGCCTGCAACTATGTTAGTCATTGTGGTCAAATTCAAAGTAAAATATTCGGCCATGCTTTTAGGTTGGTGTAGTTTCTCTTACTCCAATCTTTGTAAGACTCTCAAAGGATTATTCATGTAGAGATTTAAGTGTGTAGAGGATATTTGAATCCTTGTTAGGGAGGAAAGCTCATGTTTTGCTGCAGGTAAATGCAGGTGGGTACATATGATGCACAAATATTTCTTAGTAACCCACCCACTGGCTTGCTTCCTGAGCGCTTCTCTTATTATGCATATTAGTTGCTGCTCCACTTATTTTTATCCTCTTTGATTTGCTACATGCTACCAACTGGGCTTTCATGAAGCTTCCCTTTACCTTTCTACCCCCCACACCCGCCTCTCCATCTCTGAGCTGCATATGGTTTTGATGTGGAGCTGAGAGTCACTGACACACTCTGTAGAGGCATGTGAAAGGAGCCATTGTTAAACAGCAGGCCTTGGAAGTTGGCCAGCTAGTAATAGCTTTTTAAAATGAAATCTTGAGATTGGAAAGCTAATATATCGTCAGCATTGAGCCAAGTGTGTTCAGGGGGAGCTGTGTGGGAGGAATTTGTTACAGAACATTTACTAAAAAAATTTCCTGCTGCAAGATGAAGAAAAATAACTAATAGCATCCAATTGAGATTAAAAGGAATTGTGTCAAGGTTACACAATTGCTCTGATTTTCGTGTGTGCGTGCGTTCAGAGCCAACTGGGGAATTTGCACCAAGTTATTTATAAAGCTTGTTTTTTACATTACATGTCAGAGATTGTTATTAGCTTGGGGGGAAAAGTAGAGCAAATACACAGCTTTGAAAGCTTTAGCATGCAGTTGCAAAACACCTATTTGTTGTACTGGACAGTCGCTTTAATTCCTGTTGTTGAAAGTAAAGTACTTTATCCTATGTCTTTTACTCACAGGCTCCGTGCACTGTCCAGTGGGGGGAGTGTGACGTCTCCCCCTCCTTCCCCCGCCATGCCAAAGTACAAGCTGGCCGAGTACCGCTACGGCCGAGAGGAGATGTTAGCACTTTATGTCAAAGACAACAAGGTTGGTTAATAGTTTACTCATTCTCTATTTATTACAGTCTATACCAATGTGAAACACTGAATCCCATTCACATGGGGCAAAAATGATGTAAGCTTACAGTCACCTGTTGACACAAGGAGATGGATATCAGCTAAAGCAGCGGTCCCCAACCTTTTTTGCGCCACGGACCGGTTTATGCCCGACAATATTTTCACGGACCGGCCTTTAAGGTGTCGCGGAAAAATACAACAAAATAAAACTAGTACCGCTACTGAAACAAAGAAGAGTTATTCATAACACACGTGAAAAGACCCAGGAAAACCGAGTTAATGATAAAAACAATAACAAAATAACGCTGAAAACCGATTAAAAACCCTGAAAATCACACCTGAGCCTCAACTCTCGCGGCCCGGAACCAAACCGGTCCGAGGCCCGGTTTATGAGATGCCGGGCTTGGAGTACATTGACAAAAACCCTGCCTTTAATATCTGTCTATAAGCACAGAACACCGAACTGCAGTTCACCCCTGTTTGTGAGGGGCAGTCAATCAGAAGTAATTGTCTTAGAGAAGAAGAGAAGAGAGGATGGCCTTACAGGAAAACTGCTTCTTTCAGACAGAATAACCCAACGGGCTGAAAATAAGGCTTACTCTGAATTGCGACTCATACAAAGCAGCATAAATAGTGTAGAACAATAGGACTTCTCTAAAGTGGTGTATAAGTCTGTATCCTTAAACATATGAACATGTTTGAAGTCAGAGTTCAAGTTTTTAAGAGGTGGTTTTGTCCTCTTGTTGTTGCTTTTAGGTCCCAGAGGACATGCAGGATAAGGAGTTTGCTGCTATTCTGCAAGAAGAGCCCATGCAGCCACTGGCACTGGTGCCTCTCACTGAGGAGGAGCAGGTCTGCACCAGCCACACTCTCACAAATGCATATCTGCAAATGTTAAACTGTTTGAGCCCTATCTTGTGGTATCTCACCCTCATACAGATTCAGTTGACAGATGTGCCTGTGAGCTCACATTCCTCACATTCCTCTCTCCTTTTTTTTTTTTTTTTTTTTTGGCTCGTTCAACTCACTCTGCAGAGGAACTTCTCCATGTCTGTGAACAGTGTGGCAGTGCTGAGGCTCATGGGAAAAGGAGTGGGTGGTGCGGCCCCAGCTGGAGTGGTCCGTGGACGAGGAGCCACACGGGGTGGTCGAGGTAACGGCAGGGAAAAAAAGTTGGATGAGGGACACAGGCAATAAAGTATAGCCCCGATTGAGCCTGTTCACAATCAGTTGTGCTGCAGAGTCCAACAACAACAACAGAAGGGCTGCTTAAAGCCCTCTGCTCAAACTACAATGGCTGCTGCCCAGCTAAAGTAAAACAGTTTATTTAAGGCAACTACTAAAGTGTTTATTTCCTTCTTTCTTCCACCATCTTGGTGCAACACACTTCCTCTTGGCCTGTTTAAAATAGTGCTCCTTTTGTCCAGCCGCAGCCTAAAAGCACGGGGCTTATGCGCTTACCTTGTCAACACATGCCAATGTAAACACATGCACAGTTCAGCACAGCAAAGGAAACCACAAAAGAAGAATGATGTTCGATGGTGTGTTGATGTGTGCACCTGCCTGCAGGATGAAGCTACTTAACCACACATGCCTTGTTCTAATGTGTATAAACAGGCCGAGGCCGTGGTGAAGGTGGATTCTACCAAAGAAGTATTGAAGATGCCGAGGTGGGTTTCGGTCGCAGCGTCCGAGAGATTCACCGCAGCCAGAGCTGGGACGACCGGTAAGGATAAACTGCGCACAGCACCTGCACTGTCCTTAAATTGTTGGTAAGGTCATGCAAATAATGACTCCAAGTGCTCTGTTGCACAACAGAAGCCTGTTTTATCATTACTCAGAGCAGCTGTCAAGCAGTGCAGCCTAGTCTGTAATCCTTTCAGATATTTTTTGTATTTCTTTCAGTTTTCCTTCCAAGATCTGGATAAGCTGTGCAAATGTATTGTCTCAGTGTGAGGTGTTGGTTGCACACACTGCTCTTGGGTTAAAAACTGGCCCATGTTTTCTTCTGCTAACTGGTCTAATTTTCCCTTCATTTCCCTCCTTTTCTCAGGGGTGAGCGTCGATTTGAGAAGCCGCTGCGGCGGGAGGTGGGACGTCCTGGCTTTGAAGAAACTGGAGGTCCCGTGGGTCCGGTGAGGAAAGAGTACACAAGGGCTGACAGTGATAACTGGCGCACCCTACGGGAGGAGCAGGAGGAAGACGAAGGGGAGCCGGGCAGTAACTGGAGACTTGCTGGATCCCGTAGGGATGGTATGATAAACACAAACGTTTTTTTTATTGTCATAAACTCTGCTTTGTTTATTCCTCTTTCTGCTGTCAACACAAGCTAAGACTTGGATCAAATTTTTAATGTTCCTTTGACATAAACCTTTTGTCCTAACTCATTAGTGTGGAAGCTACACTTTGGTATAGCCTCATTAAAATCACTAAGATGGAGCATCACTGAGATTTGTATTACTCATCATTCCACTGTTATATTACTGTGTTTTTTAAGCCTATGTTAACAATGTGTGTGTCAACTATAGCTTAAAGGACATTGTACTGGCATCTAGTGGTCAGTGATGGGAAAACCAAGCAGCTGGGTTTAGGTTAAACTAAAGCTTCCTGAGTTTCTGCAGACTCAGCAGTCGGCTTCAATGAATCATGATCTTTCCAAACCAGATATCTTGAAAATGAAACTCCAGATTGAGTTAAAACAGAAAAATAAATTTCTGAGTGTAGCTCAGGTCAGTTTTGAAGCTAATAACTTTCCATTTGTTTACCAGATGGTGGTCCTCGCTCAGCGGGCTGGCGGGACCACAGTGGTCCAGGAGAAGGTCGGAGGAGGAAGTTTGATTTCGACTTCCGGGACTCTGACGGGCACGGTGGCGGGCGTCGGCGCGCAGGCAGCGATGGTCTAGAGGACGATAGGGACGGCCTGCCTGAGTGGTGTACAGATGAGGAGGATGGGGAGATGGGCACTTTTGACTCGTCTGGAGCGTTCATGCCTATGAAGGTACTCAGAATGATGTTTCTGTTACTGTTATGATATTGTTTTAATATTTATTTGTTGGGATTGCTTCACTTTTTTTGGTCTGTATCTTGTATCAGAAGAGTGGCAAGGAGACAATCCTGGAGGAGTTTGAGTTTAAGGGGATTGAGGAAGAGGAAGAGGAGGGAGACAGCCTTGCTGATATGGAGAGGAACAGCGCTGAAGGAGACAAAGACAAGGGTGAGGCGAGACCGGATGTCTTTATTTGATCTTACATTTACATGTTGTCTTCTATCTTTTACCTTCACTGATCATAGTCAATGGAGGATTCATTACTTTTTTTTCCCCTTCCTTTCTTCCACTCCTGGCCTCACAGAGATTAAAGAAGCCATCTTTATTGTTGGAGATGGTGAGACAAAGCCAGCATCTCCTTCGTCTTCTCCAACAGCTCACTGTCCCCCTCCATCGCTGGAGTCCCAACCCAGCAGTGCTAATCAAGTGGTGGATAATGCCCAGCTGAGCAACAGCCAGTCTGTGAAGGCCAGCAGCACGTCTGGTGAAGGTAGGTCATGTTCCACATACCTCTGTGTTAGTGTGCCAACAGGACAAAACGGCAATATTATCTTTTTTTAAAAATTTGTTTTAGGCAATTTCATTAATGTGTTAAACTCTTATAAGAAAAAAAAGAACATGTTAACTGTCTATATCAAATATACATGCTTCTGCATTTCAGTAATTATTAGACTGTTTGATTTTGTATAAATCCGGAATAAAGTTATTTAGGCAACTTTTTATTGTGCAATGATTTAAATTTAAAAAAGGCTTCTAAAGTGAGAGATCCTGAACCTTTGGTTTCATGACCTCAGCCCTTTCAGTCTCAGGTCGGCGTGTTTGAGCAAGGAAATTCAGCCATGTTGATATTTTGGTTTGAAATAGAATATGTTTGCCTCAGTCATTTGATACTTTGTTTACTGAACCGGCTGCTGGATGTGACACAGAGCCAGTAGGCGGCTCTACCGCTCACATCAAACAACACCAAACGCTAAACTATAAATAGAAACACTAAAAATAGGGCCCATTGTTTTACTCGTTTCTTCTTTTTCTTTTCATGTGCGTATGTCAGATGCAGCTCCATTAGGGGGCTCCAAGGCCCAGCTGAGTCCCAGCGGCGCAGCCACCTCCTCCAGCCTGCCTCCTCCACCCCCTTCATCTGCTGCTCCTCTACTCCCGCCATCTGGAGGAGACGCTGAGGACGACGAAGGCATGAAACACCTGCAGCAGGTAGGAGCAGCAAGAGGAACATTTCAGACAAATTATGTAATCATGTCTAATCAAACTACATTTCACAGCCTTCAGGTGAGGGATGAAACTGGTGATTATTTTGCTGCTGAATATTCAAAACCAGAACTGCACTTTTCTTTTTTTGTCTTTTGATAAAGCTCACTGCTTTGAATAAAAACGCGATGGTTAGGCGGGAGGCTGCAAATATAGAGCAGTTCATTTGATGCTGATTGATGTGCCGGAAACTGAAAAGGACGTCTGCATGTCTGTTCTGTGCTCTTCTATATATTGTTTATATTTTCACATATGTTACTTTAAACAAGCATCACTAACATAACCTTGTCTGACTAGGTCTAAAACCTGCTGAGCTTTGTTTTAGCTGGTATCAGTGCATTCAAAGTTGTGAGTCTTAGCTGTACTATTAGCATCGCCACCTTTTCATCCTACGGGTGAGCCTGCTACACCAACTCTTGTCGACTAGATAATAAATGTTTGTTTATATTTGTGTAGGAGGCAGAGAAGATGGTGGCATCACTGCAGGATACTTCTTTGGAGGAGGAGTGCTTCACCCAGGCTCTGCAGCAGCAGGAGAGCAGGAACACGGCAGCTGCTCTGCCGCTAACTCACGAGGCTGCCATGAAGTGGTTCTATAAGGACCCCCAGGGAGAGATCCAGGGTACTCCTATTCTCCTGATGATACTTTCTAAAAACATGAATAAAAACTGTTAATTTCTTGAGGTGAGATGAAGCTAGTCCGACACCTAAGGTCAGTTTCTGCATTGCAAACTCTCCTCTGTCCTGCCCACCAACCAGGTCCATTCACCACGGTGGAGATGTGTGAGTGGTTTCAGGCTGGCTACTTCACCATGACCCTGCTGGTGAAGCGGGGCTGTGATGAAGGTTTCCAACCCCTGGGGGATGTCATCAAGATGTGGGGCCGCGTGCCCTTTGCCCCGGGTCCCTCCCCGCCGCCCCTGCTGGTGAGACAGCTACCACCAACGCAGCGCCCGCAGCCCAACCGGGGGCCCGCCGGGACTGTGAGTCAGAGCTCAGCCACCCGAGAGGATGGGGAGGGGAGGATGCAAATGAGAGGGCACATTTCTAGACAGGTTATGGTGGCAGGAATTGTAATTTTAAATTCTCACCTCTTAATGTCACACAGTTGATTTAATGAATTTTCTATTGCATGCTGACTTGGATAAATGTGTGTAAATGTAGCTGAAATATTACCAGAAGCAAGTCTGTTCTAGATGCAGTAATTTGCTATTGTAATTTTGAGTCTGACTTTTCCTTTGTGTTGACATTATATCTTTCCCCTTCATCAGGGAAACCTGGACCAGGAGCGCCTGAAAAAGCAACAGGAGCTTGCAGCAGCAGCTCTTTATCAACAGCTCCAACAGCAGCAGCAGCTATTCCAGCTCATGAACAGGTGGGTGGAGGCTTCGCCCTAAATTTGTTGGAGTTCATTCCGGTCCTAGTTTGAACTTTGGAGGACATGTTTAGTTTCAAAGTAAACGTACACGTCGGGTGTTGCTTTATGTCCCAGGTGCAGTGAGCAGAGTATGATGCCTTCGATGAACAGATCGATGTCAGTGCCAGATACAGGGTCCATGTGGGACATGCATACCTCAGCTTCACAGCCGTCAGGTACAGTGTGGACTGCTGCTGTTTGGTTTGTGCACACACAGGCAGGCACAGTTAAAACACACAAACTGTAGCTGCTGCCGCTAATATGATCCTTTTTCATTTTCATGTAGGTGGTGAAGCCAGTCTTTGGGACATAACAATGAATCCTTCTACTCAGGGTCCAACTCTCGAACAGCTTCAGAAGGTGAGGGCTGTTGAATAGTAATATCAGACTGTGAGTCCATTGAGTCATACCAGCGTCAGATCCAAATATTCATTCACAATTACTGATGACGCATTTCCTTTAGCTCCAGCAGGAGAGGCGAGACGCTGAACTCAGGGCGAAGCGTGAGGAAGAGGAGCAGCGTAAGCGAAGGGAGGAGAAGAGAAGGCAACAGGAGGAGCAGAAAAGGAGGGAGGAGGAGGAGATCTTCAGACGCAAGCAGGTGGAGAAATTTTGCATTCATTTTATCCCATGTGTTGCCTTGGGGTTGTTAAATATGTTACTGGCTTTGTTCATTAAAGCAAAAATATTCCGAGCTGCTTTTTGATTTAGTTTTCATAATGTTTGATATTTTATTTTCTTTGCTGAGCGGCACTAAATGCTGTTTTCCTCTAAGAAACGAGAACCACAGCTATAGCCTGATCTGTCATATGTTCCCGCAGTGTCGTCAGCAGCAGGAACTGATCATGAAATTGCTGCAGCAGACCCCCCAGCAGCAAGGACCGGGGGCAGGCAGCTCTAGTTGGAGTGGGGCTTCCTCTTCTGGGCTTTCTAAGGCAGGAAAGCCCCAGGCTCTGGCTTTGCTGGAAATACAGCAGGAGACTGAGAGACTCCTGAAGCAGCAGCAGAGAGCCCAGCAGCAGAGAGACCGCGTGAGTTCACCATTCAGGTCTACAGCAATGATAATGTTAGCATGTAGCAGGAATTTGCATGTTTAAAATAAAAACGTACATATTGTTGGTCATTTATGGAGCCTGATTTTTATCCGTTTGCAGCACTCTGGTTTGTCAATGGGGAGCTCCTCCATGGGAGGGCAGTGGGTGGATGGCGTCGGTATGTGGGGAGGGCCGGGTAGTCTGGAGAGTAAGAGCAGTAGTGGAGGGTCTTCGGGCAGCATGGGCATGTGGGACGAGGCTGTGAAGAACCAGACCGGCCTGCGTGGGAACAGCAACAACAACATGGGCCTTAAGAACAGCCGCAGCAGCCCATCACTCAGGTGAGCATGTCTGGGCAACTCAGCTGATGTGGATTGTTGGATTGCCCAGTTATAAAGCACTGCTTGCAGGAAAAAGTGGATTTCTTTTAGTTGATGATAGTAATGATATAATTTGCCTGGGTGTCCTCCACAGTGATCAGTACATGATCCGTCGTAAGCGCACCGAGGAGGAGGAGAAGCTGCTGAAGCTGCTGCAGGGCATGAAGCCTCAGGACGGCTTCACCACCTGGTGTGAACAGATGCTGCACGCTCTCAACACCTCTGCCAACAACTCCTCCTCCTCTGTGGATGGTAGGTGGTTCAACTTTATCACATTTAGCAATATAAAGGGTGTTTAGAGTTTACCCTCAGCTTACAGACATCAATAGCTGATGTCTGTGTAAATTACAGCAACACTTCTGTGTCACTAATCATTCACGTTGTGTGTTTATCAAGTTGCCACAATTGTGGCATACCTGAAGGAGGTGGAGTCTCCCTATGCAGTGCTGGATTTCATCCGGTCCTACCTAGGGGACACAGTGGAAGCCAAAGAGTTCGCCAAACAGTTTCTGGAGCGACGTGCCAAACAGAAAGCCAACCAACAGAGACAGCAGCAACAGGTAGGTTGAAAGAGCATCAGTCCAAAATGTCACCTGCTCGGTAAACAACATCAGTGTAATTTAAAGAAAAGAGAAACATTGCTGAAATGTTCTCTTTATAGAACACAGAAAGCCTGCCCATTAAAGCCTTTAATTTATAGTATGACGAGTGGCTAATTGTTCATTTTTATTGTGAATAGACACAGACTGTGTTCAGTAGTTTGCATTTTCAGTCGGAAACTGATGGTTTTCTCAGGTGGGAATCGATGGTACATTCTAGTCTGTACAAGTGTTTGATGTAGTGTTCAATTTCTGTGAGTTAACTTGGAAACCTAGGGGATTCATAGGCTGTATAAAATATATGGTTGGAGCCGCTGTGACATTTTTTTTTAATTTGACCAACACTGAGTTGTTTTTCAGTGCCAGCTTGAGACACTTAAACCTCACTGCCATCATTCACAACCAAGAACAGAAAAACTGCCTGAAACTGAATGTTTAGAGCAGTCTGAAGTCAAAGCTCAGGGATCACTTGTACATACTTGTGTGTGTGTGTGTGTGTGTGCGTGTGCGTGTGCGTGTGTGTGTGTGTGTGCTAATTAAAAAGAAAGACAAGATGATAGTTTATTGAATTTAAATGAAATTTGCAGATTGTTTCGGTGAAGTTTAATAAACTCCTTGCTATCTAAAATATAACAGGACACCGGAGTAAATTCTCCAGCATCTCACACTTCTGATAATCAGCTGTCTGCCTGACATTTATTCAGCTGTGTAAAAACTAACTTTAATCTCAGCCAAACAGATTTACTCAGGAACAAATAAAATACTGAAAAAAGCCAAACAATAACATTTTTAAGTTATCTAAGTGACTTATATATCATGTTTAACCTGAGTAGTGAAAGACAGCGGTGGGTTTGAAAACGATTTGCCGGGGGGTCCGGTGTTCTCACGGCTCTAGTGAGCCTTGCCCCCGGCTAGCTATCGAGCTGGTGGGTAAAAGACGTCTCCGACAACATCGGAGTGCTTTTGAAAATATGTGGTGTCTTGATAAACCGAGCAGATATTTGAAGTTTACACAGCTACATTCTCGCCTGAAAATATGTTAAACGTTTATTTTGTGACCCAGAAAGAATAATAAGAGTAATATTAAAACTAACTAGCTGCCGCCATTGTTCGAAACTGAGCTGGGCCGCTTCTTCTTCTTCGGGGTTTAACGGCAGCTGGCATCCTTGTACATGCAGTGCTGCCATCTTCTGTTTCAGTCCGTTATTACACTCTTAAATCCTACTACTTATTTCTGCGTCTTTTGGGATCTTACAAAGCTTCAAACGACGCATCGACTATTAAATTAGTCGTCGACGATTTTGATAGTCGACGTAATATATAAAAGCATGACGCGTCCTCTTTAAGACATTATGGACGTGGTTTCACACACAAACCTTCTGTGATTAGCTGGATTGAAATTGTAGGAAGTGAATATTTTGGATGAAGGTCAGGCTTTGCACATATGTGTTTAAAAGTATTATTAACAGGCTGAGAGTGGCTTTAATTCCTCCTCTTCTCTTTGTGTCCTAGTTATCAAAGGAAGTGGCTGGATTGAACATGAACTTCCCTCTGCAGGTAAATGCAGACATGCCTCTAAGCCATACACGCAGGATTGTTATTAACACAGCATCAATGAGTGCTCTCCTTTACTACAACTATAACTTCACTACAGCATTAAAGACTTTTTATAGACAGTGAAAACTTTAATTTCTTTATGAGGAGTCTCCTGGATTGAAACTCGAAAAGAAAACTGAAACATCAAAGGGTCACGTCCAACCTGGCACTGTTACGATCGTGATCATTTTTGCTTTGTGTTTTTTAGGATTCAATGCGAGGTATGAATCCCAACACTCTGCAGTCCATGTTTCAGGCCAACCACATGGGCAAGGCTGGTCTCTATGATAACCAGGGAGGAAAGATGAAGAAGAAACAGCCCATGATGCTGCACTCTGACCCCAGCATCTTAGGTACGCGACCTCAAGAGCTTTTAAGGTTTTTCCTTTGAACTTCTTCACCACGTACATGGACAGCTTTACCAAAAAGTGTTTTTCTTTGGTTTTAATTTTGTTTAGTTTTCTTCTGTCCAGTTTTTTTTTGTTTCACTAGGTTTCTAGAGTGTATTTAGTACTGTTGGTGTTTGTTGTAGTTCCCAGTATATGTTCATATTGCCATTTTTTTTTTAATTTATTTATTTATTTTTTTACACAGCTTAGTTTGAGTTAGTTTTCGATCCTTTTCGAGCCTTCGTTTTTATTCACACCCACCTTCAGCTTTTAGTTCAGAGCCCAGATCAAGTACATGAGTTACTCACTAGAGGAAATGCTTAGCATGGAAACGCAAAGTGGAAAATGTAGTCATTTGTGCAGTAGGATTATGTGTGAAGTGAAACCAGGTTGTTTCCACTGTATAACACTGATCTGCTTAAATGACCTACCGAGAGTAGAGATGCAATAATAAATCAGCTAGCTACCAATGCTCCGTCTCAGGGAGCGTTCAGAGTCCAACTTGTTGATATGTAAAACAGTATAAACACAGCTTATTCACTCTTCTCTGACACAGTGTAATTTGCAGTGGGCCCTTCCTTATAATGCTAACACTGCAGCTGTTTATTCGCTTTCCGAAAACCTTTTCAGACAAAATCCGAATCGGCAAAGAAACCAAAAAGAAGCCAAGACCTCTTCTTATGATATCGTTTTCTTTATTCCCTCCTGTCAGTGTTTAAGCCAGCCTTTAACCCCTTGTGCCATCCTTCTCTAATCTTGGTGTACTCTCTCCCCTCTCTTCCCTGTGCCCTCTCCTACCTGCAGGGTACTCATTCCACAACACGGGCGAGTGTATGAGCCTGAATGAGATGGAGATGGTGGAGGATTACTGATGTGACGCAGCGCAGCAGCAATAGCTACCTGAGGCCTTCTGTCTTTTAATCAGACAAACCTGATGACGAATGTGCACTGCTGGGGGAACCGAACTGGGGGTTGTGGGGTACAAAGGGGGGCAAGCATGGTGGTGAGGGGGAGGTGTGGAGTGGAGGCGCCCAGTTCTGCGCCTCCCACTCGTTCTTTCCCTCTGGATAGAAAAAATAAAAAGGGCTCCCTGCTGCACCAGTTGATCACTAGAGCAGGGGAGAGGGGGGGTGAGGCGCGGTGAGGTTAAAAGGATGATGGGTATCCTCTGGCACTCAAAAGATTAAGCACCTTATACTGAACTAATGCACTTTATTGAGATGGGATTTGAATAGTTTTTCTTTTTGTTCGTGTGTGTGTATGCGTGCGTGTTCAGAATCAGTGCGCATACGGTGTGTGTACGTGCACATTATCGGCGTGTGCAGCAGAACTGGAAGGCGGCGGTGAAAACAGCGAGCAGGGCCGAGCGGGCGGGACGTTAGGTTTTCAAATTCAGGGGGACCTTTAGTTGAAACCGTATCAGAGAGCAAATCCTTTCTCAAAAGACAAACACTGTTGATATTTCTCTTGTTTAGCATTTTTTTTTTTTTTTTTTTTGGTTCTGTTTTTTACGTTTATATAAAAAAGTAAAGCTATTGAAAAATGGATTATAAAAAAAACTTGAAGATTTGCACTTGCCTAAAAAAACGAAATAAGAAAAACGACAAAAAAAAGAAAACAAATGGGGTTAGTTAGAAGTGAATATTTTTGTGAATGTGTATGAGCGACTGGGAGTGGCTGATGTGTGGCGGCTGAGTTGTGTCAGTAATATACAGTCTGCACAAGTTTTTTGTCTTTTGTTGCTTACCAAGATGTATGAAACATAAGAGGCCATTTTTGTCTTTTCTGTTTGGATAGTCATTTTGTATTCATGTTTAGAGTGAGTGTGTGTGTGTGTGTGTGTATGTATGTGGTCCTTTCCAGACAAGGACGTGTGTGTTTTATGGGTGTGACTGAATGCTCGTGTGTGTGTGTGTGTGTGTGTTTATGAGAGAGAGAGAGGGCAATTGCACAACACATCCTTTCTCTCACCAGCTCTTCATCCCCTGATAGAAAACCAGAAATGCATATATTTGTAAATGTTAGCTTTGCTCTCATCACATGACGACCACCACTAGTTTATTTCCCTGAGCTTCTCCCCATGGGGAGCCGTCTCTAGACCTGAAAGGGACTAAGCAGACGTGGCGAATCATGAGGGACATTACTGTGTGCGCATGTGAGTGAGATTTTCAGTGTGCGTGTTTAGAGTACATGTTCATTTACTGTTCATAGAAATGAGTTAAAACTACAGGTACTCATTTTTCTTGTTGTTGTTGTTTTCTTGTATGTGTATGAATGCACATTTGTGCCTAAGAACTTGGATAGGGTGCATGGCCATCGAGACATTAACTCTTTTTTGAGAGCGAGTGTGGTGCGTGTCAGTGCTCAGCACAGTGTATGTAAAGTATGTACGTTGGTATGGTAAATATTTCTAGTTGAGTCTAGGGGTGATCCATCGGAAGGCTTAGTCCAGCGTGTTTTTCCTGGGGGTGTGATCACGTTGCCTTTTGTCAGCTCTCGAACTTGTGAATGAAAGGTGTCGAGTTTCTGACTCTGAAATACAGAAAACCACAAAAAAACAATTAAAAAAAATACAGCATCTTAATGTGCAAGTGCACAGAGCGGTGCATGAAATGTTAGCATATTGTGTTACATATTCGTTGTTGCAATTTGATAATGACGAGTTTTTCTTTTTTAAATGAAAAATATATATAAATATATACATTATATACAAAGTTTAAAAAGTATTTGGACTAAGATGAGCACTTGGGGCTGCTATTTTTGTTGTGTGTTTTTAATTTTCTTTTCCTTTTTTTTTTTCATTTTTTGCCATGTGAAGTGTGTATTATTTTTCTTTTCTTAAGAAAATATTGAATGTATTCCAAAAAAAAAAAATGACAAGAAACCCGTGCTGATACAAGATTTTGTTTTTGTTCCTCAGAAGATTTCAAAAATGGAAACAAAACCGAAAAAAGCTTCAAAGAGTTGAGCGGGGTCTTTTTTTTTTTTCTTTCTTTTTTTTCATTTACACAGTGGAGGAGAGAGACAAACTCGAGATGGATACAGTTGAACACACTGCCTCTACAATCCTGGTCGTACAAATGGTGACTAAAGAAAGGACTCTTTCTATTCCATACTGGAGCTTTGGTTGTTTACAAGCCACATGGATATCTGTGGGTGCAGTTTTATTCTTTTGTTTTATCTTTTTTTGTTCCCACATGAGACGGGTGGGGTTTGCAAGTGCGCTTCTGCCATAAGGACATTGAGTGGTGTGGTGGCGTTTTTGTTTATTTTGGTTCGTTGTTTTTGAGGAAGAGTGGCAGGCATCACAACAACATGGACAGGATCCTCTAACTAGATCTGTGTCGTGGGTCCTGAGACTTGATCAGCCGCGGAGCGGAGGTAGAAAAATCAAGGATGGGGCTGTGTTTTGTGGAGAACCGAGTGCAGGGCTGCAAACCCTGGAGGGGGAACTTGAGAGGACGGTATGAGCGCATCCGCTCGGTGCTCTCGTCTTCACCTCGGCCCTCGAAAGCACTCGCACCCTGCCCTCACCGACTCACCTATGCACTTTTGTTCATTCAAGCTGTGAGGTACAATTTTGGGGATGGGAGCACAATTACAACAGGAGGATTGCTACGACTTTGACAAAGTCACTGAAAAAGAAATTCCCAAACTGAAATAAGAGACTCGAGAAGCTCGTCTTCTCCCACCTCCTGTACATAACCATATTTTTGTATTACCTTTCAGAGTAGAAAGAAAAAAATGCAAAATGGATGAAGGAAAATTCATTGATTATATGGAGTGAATGTTCTTCAAGAAAACCAATCTTTTTTTGTTTTTTAAATCTAGTTTGAGATGGGACTCGCTGAGAGTTTAGTTTGCCAGTAGCCCTGAAGTAATCGGGGAAGGAACGTAAAACCACATGGACTGAGGTGGTGGCCATGCTGCAGTGGCTCCAAGACTGACTGATAGCTACTTATCAAAATGGATGTTGCAGTGGCTACAAAGAGCCCACCAAGAGTGTTTGATCAACACGCACAGTAAAGAGATGGACACTGATGACAGCCTCAAGAGCTGCAGAGTGACTACCGGAGGACAAGTGCTTGGCATTGGTAAGATGTTCTTCCAGGATTTTAATTGTTTTTATCCTTTTTGTTTTTGTTTAATGCTTTTCTACAGTGTTAATTTTCACAGTAAATTTAGTCTGTTGACTAAAACTTTTAATTTTAGTCATAATTTAGTTGCCTAAATTCTATTAGTTGACTAAATATAGTAAATCTAAAATCGATTTGACCAAAATCTAGAATTTGTCGTGTTTTTACTGGTGAGCGGCGCTCCACACGTTTTGCAAAACCTCTTATTTTCCTTGACGTGTGAACTGTGTACATGTGTCTTCTCTTCCTCTCAAGCCTCAAAATTGTTGCTTTTTCATGAGAAACAAGGATGGGAGTTGTGTCGTTTCCCGCCACCTCAAAAACAAAACAAAAGAACTTACTGTTTCCGGGGAAGATCAAATTTGTGCGTCTAACCTCACTGCACGAGGAGATTACTCAATTTAATGAATTGATTCCGATTGGATCTAGTCTCTCCAGAATATCTTCATCTTGTTATTTGCTGATGGAAGTATCCATACATTTTCATTTAGTTGACTTGTTTCCATCAGCAGGAAAAAGGTTGCTGACAAACTATGACAAAAATTATTGGTCAATGAAGCTTTCGTAAAGTTACAGGTTGCTTTCCGCACCTTCATGGATTTGTTAAATTAATTGATAATTAACTATGGCAAGTTAAAATTGTGGTAGATGATCATTGTAAGGCTGTAATAAAACTAGATGTAGCGGCCAGAATAAAAAGTGAAGCCAGTGTAGCGTTGCCGTAACTCGCATTCTCTCGCTAACGTCCAGCAGAGGGCGTTTGGAAGGCTACAAGAAAACTAAGCTTTAGTGTGACCTTATTTAAAGTTCTTCCTGGTGAAAGACTTTGTGGTCTTGTGGGCATTTCAAGTCTTGCTGAAACTTTATGTTCATTTAACAAATTTTGGTGCCGATTAGCATGAAAAAGTGGGGTAGCCTGTGAGTCTATGCCCTGGTGTCTCAATAAGCACTGACCCTTGTTCATCACAAAAACACCACAGTGGAAATATTCAGCTCAAAGCTTCACAACAGAACTTTTAACAGTTGCCACTTCCATCATTTATATACAGTCCTGTCCTCTGTTAATGCCTGTGTCCAAGTTTTGCTGATTATGTCTTGCCCTCTTTCTATGTGTTTTCACAGGAGTCTGGCTGTGCTTTATTTGCTGCCCTCTGCAAGGAGGATCTTATCTACAGCCAACCCATGAACCAGTGAACCCTAAACCTGTCCTTTTGAACTTAGACCCTAAGAAACTTTTTTTGACCTCAGTGTGGGCAGGCCAATGGCATTATACGTTGGACAGATGAAGTTGCAGGTTTATCAACTCTTCATCCCCTTTTTGCTGGAAGTGTTCGGTTAAGGATTTAATCCCACACTCCATCTAAGAAGAGGATACAAAGGCTTGCGTTGCCCAGAAGTTCATCATCCACCTCAGCCGGAAAACTCTCGGATGGTGGTCTTAAAGGTCTTCTAGCCATTGGGACCGATGAGCCGCTCTCCTGCCCAGATGTCAGAGACAGTGTGCTGGGATGAGTTTTGGTGGACGTGGCCGGATTACATCTCAGCCATCGCAAAAGGCTGCTGCTGTGGAACTGGATGAACTGAAAGAATTGTACAAGGAAAAAAAGGACTTTTGAAAACAAAACACAAAACTATCATATGTCACATAAATTCTCAAGTCCAAAGGAGCAGGCAGACACACTACATGCACACACTCAGCTAAAGTTACATTGGCTCTCCTCTGGAACAATGTCTACACACACATGCACACACACACACACACACCAGAGATACACAATATCAAACGACACAAAGACACACAAGCATCAACGCCCAGCAGCATAAACGCTGAGCTTTGTAAATAATGTAAAAGTTAGTGTTTTTGAGTTTTCTCCATAATGGCTTTTGCTTTATTTCTTTGTTCAACATGCCTTAAATTGTATAGTTCAGTCTGAAATGGCTTAATGAAAACGTTCTCAGTTTAAGTTGGAAACCACCCCGTTAACTGTACTCTAAAGAGCGTTTTAACAAGACGTCTGTTCGCTGACAGACTTGTCCTGTATAAAAGTGTAAATGTGATCTACTTTAAAGATACTAGTTAACTAAAGAATAGAGCAATGAGGGCTTTTTGGTTGATCTAATTTTACTGGTGGTTGGATTTTTGTTGCCCTTTTTTTTTTTTCCTTTTGATCCAAATAAAGTGTGGATTCGTTGAGATTTCCTATTTAGATTACTGCTGAAGGTGCAGGCTTGACAAAGGGCTGAAGTCTGTGCTGCCTGGAGCTGGGCTTACTGGGTGATATGCAGAGGTTCATCTCAGAGCACGTGCTTGTTGCTGTGTCGTATCTGTTGTTGGATACAGTCCTCGGCAAAACTGAACCAGAATGGCAGGTCGTCCTCAAATTGATTTGTTTTCTTTACACTCCAGGGGAATAAAATGTTTTAGGAGTTGGATCTTTTTACAGTTTTGACATAGTGATTCACACTTGTCTTATGAGTGCTTGTAAGAACAGGCATGCATGATGGTTTGTAGTATTTGTGGGGTTTGACACTAAAATCTGTGTATCTAATAGTGCTGCTGACCATCAGTGATGGCACTGAATCGATACGGAAGCGACCAGGCTGTGGTGTGTCTGAAATCTGAAAGGTCTTCTCGGACCACGTCTTTACTCTGTATGTCTCATTAAATTTAAGAGATTCGTGTTTTTAGTCATTCTATAGTTTGTTTGTTTTTTCCTTCTTTATAACCAAACATATGCAGTTTTTTATCCAAATGGAAACTGATGTTTATTGAATACCGTCAGTTTAGACTTGTTAAAAGTTTCTGATCAACTGTGGGTGTGGTGTGCAGTTGTCTTCTATAGGTAAGTGAAGTAGCCACAGTTGGCATTGAATTGATATTGAATTATTACTTTAAATGTTATCACATTTTTTAAAAAGCTTATACTGTGATGGATGAATCATCAGTCTATTTTACTGCACTACAAAAGCTTTTATGATCAGAGAAACCACAGTATTGTGTCTAAAGACCCTGGTTGATGAGCAGCTTGACCCGCCTGCTTCAGGATAGAAGCTATAGATGGAAAGATTACCTGGTTCAGTTTTGCTGGTTACTGTAACACCGACTGTAATGATGGACTCATGGTTATACCCCAGTCAGCCCATCTCCTTCACTTAATATGTCGTTGAATGTTGTTAAAATAACAGCATACATGTAATGAAAATGTTTTGGAAAAGAACAACTGAAAAGAAGTGTAAATAGTTTGGCTTTTGTTTGAAGAACAAAATAAATACTAAATAAATAGCATTTAGCTGTGACCGACTCTGTGTGTGTTCTTTGGTTATCTATGAAGTTTGAGTAAAAAACCAAGAAGACATCTTGTTATGAATCACGCTTATCCGCACATAATAGAATCAGCACTCACTGAGCGCGTCTCGTCCAATGAACTCTCGCGATAGTTTGAAGCACATGGCCGCCCGCAGTGTTTACAACTTCTCCTAATGAGATGGTGAAGGGAAACAAAGTCCCGAAGCAGAAAGACGGCGATTAGTTTTGTGTGTTCGGTCTTTTTCTCCGGCTTTTGGTGAAACTCTTGATTCTGCGGGTTTTGCTTTTCGGCCAAACCGCGAACACAACTAAAGGCCAGGCAAGCCACAACACAGGTATATAGCATCAGATTGCTAACGTAGGCTAATGCTAACTTGGGCTAAAGTGTG